CAATTTAAAAGATAATTTTGCAAGTAAAAAAAAAAAATGTGTCGTAAAACTGTGAAGTAACACTTTTTTTGTGTGAAACCGCTCAATGACCTACATCTCCCGTCTCGCACCACACGGCCGTCACGTTGGCACATTTCACTTCTTTCTTTCAGAATGAGGCGAAAAGTATTAAAAGAGGTGAAAATCACTCCAAGTCTGGGCATGTTGAGAGCTGTGCATACACACAAGGGGAGTTAGTCGGTACGTAAGAGCCAGCATGCGGGACCGGGATTCTGGGATTTGTAGTCTTTCTAGCTGCGTATTTTTCATAGTCTTATATTTCAACAGTTTTACGACAAACTGTGACTTTTTTGACATGGAAATTATTTTTTAAGATTGACAAACATCATGTGTGTAATTCGTGGCACAATTCAAACGGGATCGAAAGATAATCTTTCTCTCCCCATTGACTTCAATACATAATTTTTCCGAATTAAGGTCCCATGGGTCGGAAGTAGATGGGCGGGACTTCACCTCTATAATTCTAGCCTTTAATCTGTGGACCCATAAGAGATACGTATGATTATATATAGATTATATTTTAAATAAGGAGTGGTCAATACTGAAGCAGAAGAGGCTGAGATATCTGACTTTTATTCCAACTACAATTCCTTTAATTAGACCCACATTTCCCCTTAAATACTAACTTAAAACTCAATGTTTTACTTAGGCCTTCTTAGTAAATGTGAGTCTTAAATTCACGCCTGATAAAGTCAATAACACTTATTCAGGGTTGTCTTTTCAAACTTTAAAAAGCTTCTTCCAGAGCTACCCAGGACCATTTTTCGTGGTTTAAATATTTCTTGCATGGCCCTTTAAGATGTCTTTGAGTAATGATGAACTCACCACCACGATGTCTGTCAAATGTATTTTATTTTAATAGGAAAATGTACAGAAAGACAGCAGACATGAAATCACCTCGGCACAGTCGACATGGCAGTGTGGACGCATTGAAACAGAGAAATAAGTGAGACACAGGAGAAGTGAGGAGGAAAATGGATGTTTGGTCAGAACAAACCTTCCTTAGAGGAGGTTTTGGCAGCTTATATTTTTATTTCTGTGTGTTTACCGTCTGTCTCTGCTTGTGTTTACAGAAAACCATCGAAAAAACACTCTCTCCGTCCATCGAGATGAGTTTTGGATGACGTCCAATTGAAGTGAATGTCTTCATAACGTGACGCCATGATGTGATGTAATGATAATGTATGTTTGGAGTCATCACAGTGTATGGAATAGAGAAACTATTAAACACTACTACAGATATAAGACATTTATCGGTGACATTAAGAAGTTAAACAGCAGGTTATAAGTTGTGTTAAAGACTTTTTTACAATGTAATACAGTATTTAAAAATGTTAAAAGTTCGTAAGAGTCAGCATAGTTTGAATAGGGCTGGGCAATATGTCAAATTTAAATCGGTATAATACTACTTTTCGTCCTACATTTTTGATAGCGTACAATCGTATCGTAACATCCGTAAATGTCTCTCCTGGTTTTAAAGATTGCTTTACAGTTGCGTTTTCTAAACTAACCCACTGTTTTAGATGTTTCATCATTTGCTTTTTCCATATTATATCCAAATTCCTGACGATTAATTATGAAAAATCAGGTTGTGTAAATATTTAGTGAACGCACCAATAGTCAACCCTACAACTTTGATCCAATCTCCAGGTATTTGATCAGAAATATTGTGGCATAGCATTATGTTTCTGTCCCTTTCTTATACTGTAATTGTATATGTTGTACTTTTAATTCTCAATAAAATATATATATAAAAAAATAATAATAATAATACGGAGAAAATAGTGAAAATGTTAAAAAAATATATATATATTGTGGCATTTTACTTTCTACATATCGCCCAGCCCAAGGCCAACATTAGTCTCTCTTTTCAAAGTCTCTCCCCTCTCAGTCCTCAGTTGACTTTGGCCATAAGCTGGTCTGTGAACAGTTTCTTCAGCTGCGCCACCTCCACGCTCAGAGAGTTCAGCTGCGTCTTCAGGTGTGTGTTCTCGTGTTTGTACTGGCCCTCAGGTTGTGTGTGAGGAGGCTGGAGGGTGTTGAATTGACTCCCCTTCCTGCCGTCCTCCAGCTGCTGAATCCAATGACCCCCTGCTGTGTCCCCGGCATTAAGTCCTTTCAGGGCTTGTGTTGGAGGTACGGGGCTCCGTCTGTGATCCCCCGCCAAATCGTACGCATCCCCACATCCTGGCGTCTTGAAACGAAGCTTGTGAGGAAGGTTTTTCATCGTCTCTGCGTGTTCAAATCTCCCCAAAACGGGTGCTGCGATGTGGTGGACTTCGGCGGGGGAGTGGTGGAGGTCGTACCCCAGCTCCTCTGCTCCGTGAGGGGATAACTTCCCGTGTTCCTCGAAGAAGATCGGACTGCCTACGCTCGACCCTTCTGGCGTGGAGAAACCAGAATCCTCCGACATGTTCCCCGCTTCCCTGGAGGCCCTGAGGTGGCTGCTGGGATGAGAGGAAGAGGAACCGTCTCCTCGGTGGAGAAAGTACTGAGGATTTGATGTTTGTACGGTGTGGTGAGGAGCTGTATTCAGGGGTAGGATGTTGGCGTTGGAGGGTTCTTTGACTAAGCCGAAGCGAAACTTCAGCGCCAAAAGTTCGGCTCTCAGTCGGGCGTTTTCCTCCAGCAGAGCCATAACTCGGCTCTCCAGAACCATGTCGTTGACGCGGCGTTTCTCCCTCGACCTCTTCGCCGCCTCGTTGTTTTTCCGCCTCTTGTCCCAGTAGCCGTCGTCCTTCTTGTCGACGGGGATGAACTCACGCTTGCGTCGGAGGCTGGACGACGGGCTCTCTTTGCGTTTGACGGCCGAGGTTCGACCCAGAAGGGAGCGGGCCAACAGGCTGCTGGAGGTCAGGATGGACACCGCCTCATCGGTGAAGGACATCGGACCTCCATCACTGCCTCCATCTGAACTCACAGGGGATTCAAGAGGATGGAGCACGGCCATTTCCTGCTGCCCCCTCATCTGCTGCGACTCCTCCTCAAACATCACTCTGTTGGGGAAGGATAAGTCTCCTTTGGGTGCTCAGAGTTCTGCTCTGTTGTGTTCAGGTCTCAGGATGCAGCAACAGTGCCACCTAGTGATCAAACGGAAGAAGGGAAAGCAGAAGAGGGATTTAGAGGTTATGCAACATCTCTTACAACACACTGTTATGTAACCCCATTACATCTCTTCAATAAAACGGGAGCGACTTGTGCCATAACCTTGCCGGCCTCATTACTCGTTCAATATGGGACATTGCATGTTGTAAATACACATCTAATCAGCCAGAGCAGATTTTGAGCATTACTAGAAGCACATGTTTAAAACACAAGAAGGACTATTTATTGTAGGATAACCTACATTCGTATTTAGGTCGATCTTCCTGTTGTTTCTAATGGTATTCTGTCTTGTTTTTGTATATATTCTATCTGTAAAAGCACACTTTAGGTGATTCGTGATGTGTTTCCGGTCTGTTTAACTTGCTTCATCAGCACATTAGTTCCAGGACATGTTGATCTCTGGTTGCTCTCACTTATCTAATCTGACCTAACTCTGTTTAGTCAGCAGCATTACCGGCACTTTATTGATTCTGCTCTAAACCAGCTTCATTTATATCCAGGTTATTATATGTATCTATACAGGAAAATGAAATGATCGAATTAAATGTTAAAGTAACAGCACGAGGTCACTTATTCCCACATAGCAGCTGAACACATGCAAGTGACAATTTGCAGCAATAAGTGGGGTTACATTTCATGTTAAATATTGTCAAGGAGAATATAGGCCTAGCTAATGCATTTTTGGTGTTGTTTTATTTAGTGAGAAATCCCTAAGTTTGCATAATAACAATTTAATACAAATCGAAAATATTGGTGATTATAATAAATACTTGTCTAATGCATTTGTGAGGGTTTCTTTTATTTATTTACCGATATATGCATCAGAATAAAATATAATGTAAATGCCATCCCGGAATAAAATACACATTTTAACCTGCAAATACGGACCTGTTTAAAGTGTAGGAAAACATAATGCTTTTTGAGTTGAGTTGTTTGTTCAGCAAAAAGCGAAATCATCCAAAGCAATAACGAGCTGTCCATAATAATAATAATAATAATAATAATGAGGACAACATGTGGACACGTGTAAATACAGATCCGTTTCGCATCTTTCGTGAGGCTTCATCTAGCGAAATGATCGTCTAGTGTCCATAATACTAATTAAACATACCACCTAACACCACGGAATAAAATAAAGATGTTTACCTGTGAATAAGTCTCAGTTTGGTCTCGTTTCTGTGTCCGGTAATGGAATCAGTCTCGCGTTCGGTAACACTGCGGGTCCTCGCGGCTTCACATTAAGGATGGCGCACCTCCACTCTGCTCCACTTGGAAAAGCGCAGCTCCTATTTGTAACGTTGAGTTCAGATCGGGACGGTCTCTATCCTCACTTGAACCAGCAGGGCCTCTTTTTGTGTTTGGGAACGCCTCCCTGTGCGACCTCCCCCCCTCTTCCTCTTTCTTCGCCGTCCAAAGGAAAGCTCCACATAACAGAGCAGTTCATCGCCATCATCATCATCATCATCTGACCTCCCTGGCCCCGCCCCCTGTGACAGGATAATCTGCTCATAACAATTAGGTAATGTCTCTGTATCCTACAGAGAGAGGCTCTGTGGAGCAGCCAGTGGTGGAAGAACACTGCATGAAAATACTCTACACTTAGTAAAAGTCCTGCATTTAAAATCTAACTTAAGTAGGCCTACACGTAAAGTAGACGTAAAGATTCAAAGGCTATATTTGTCAAATGCACAATGGCTGGTGTAGTTGTTGGAAATGAATGTACTATTAATGTCTCCTCTAACAGTGCAACATCTGCAAAAAATGAAGAAGAGTACTTTATTAATCCCAAGGGGTTTTAGAAACATTTGCTCCATAAATAAAAAGTAGGTGAAAGTGTAAATGTGCAATAAAAGGATAAAATGTTTTACAAATATGTAAATACACAGTTAAGGTATAAGTACAAGTTAAAATGTGGATACAAAAATAAATAAAAGGATAACAATAGAAAAACTTCTTTTTTTTTTTACAATATAAAATAAAGTAAGGTACAAGTTAAAGAAA